GCCCATCCCGCCGACTCCAGCCCGAAGCCCGCGACGGATGCTGATGATGGTCCTATGGTTGTGTGGCATGACACCGATCAGGTCTCCCCTGTAGGCGGCCCCCTAGACAGGCAGCTCTGGGGGTCCCTCTTTATAGACGGCTCGTGCACTCGGCACCCCATCCGTGAATTAAGTCGGGCCGCGTCCTGCGTGGCCATGGTTGACTCCGCTGGTAGGTGTGTTGCCGAATTCAGAGCCCCTGTCTGGGCGCCCTATCCTCAGACCCCACAGAGTGCTGAGTTTTCGGCCTACACGTGGGCCCACATGCTCGGCATTCCAGGCCACGCTTCGGCCCTGTCTGATTGCCTCAATGTTGTAAAGATCGCTGACCTGCCTAAGGCGGCCCATTTCTCTGGTCAGCGCATGTACTCGGGGGCCTTCCTCCAGTGTTTCTCCACCGCGTCCTCCCTCCTCCCCGTGGAAAAAGTTGCTGCTCATAAGGACCGTGATGAGCAAGGCATCTCCAGCGAAGAGAGATGGCGTAGGCAAGGCAACTATTGGGCCGATGTTGGCGCTAAGCATGCTGTCGACTTGCATCCCAGCTCGGCCGAAGCCAATGATGTCACGGACAAATTAATAAAGGCGGCCCGCTGCACCCTGCGCCTCGCGGCCCGCCTCCTGCCCTTGTGGGGCCCCATTGATTTGTCGGGTGTTGAATTGCTTAGGAAGCCCTCGGCTGCCTCAGCGCCTGTGCCACATGTCTGGAGACCCTGGGCTGGAGCGTGGAGGTGTGAAGTTTGTTTACGCGGCACTCGAGCCCTCGACGAGCCCCCTCCTGGTTCTTGCAGTGGTCGCAGTAAACTTGACGAGGGCCGTCTCTTGGCTCTTGAGCATCGTGTTTTAGCGTTTGACTGTTCTGACAGCAGCGTTCTATTCATCTGCGTGCGTTGCCACTGTCACTCCTCGGGCCAGAGAGTTCGCGGCTTGTCTGTGAAATGTGTTGGCCGTCCGACCAAGACCACTCGGACGGGCTGGAACACGTTGTGCAAACGAGGCCTGCACCCCCAGTACAGCAAGCGGGAGGTCAGGGTCCACACAGGAAACATTAGGAGCCTGTTCAGATCCGTGGATGGAGTCCTTGAGCCTGCCGAGGAGGAGGAGGAGGTCCCCGCTCCCCCGGTTGAGCCTCCCCCTCCCCCGTCCTCGGAGGTGGGGGAAGCTCGCAGCAAGCACCAGGCCGTCCTGGCCCAGCGCCTGCTTGAGGCTGCCCGAACTGGCTCCTCTCGGCCCTCATCGGGCTAGTCGGCTCTCCTGGCCACCTTTTTTCGGCCCAGGTGTCTGCCGTGGCGAGTTTTTCCTCGCCTTTCCCTTTCTGCCTGCAGGGTTCGTGTCGGTTTTTCGTCTGACACCTTTGGCCCTGCTGGCACACATCTGTCCCTCTCCCCCCGCAGTAGAGGGCCAGGCAGAATGTTGCGGTGCAGAGCGTGGAGCTCAAAAGTTAGAGCTTGTCGCGAGAAGATGGTCAAATCGTTTGAACACCCGTGGCATCAAGATCGAAAGTGGTGTTTCTGGTCGCCGTTTGACTCGCGTCAGGCTCGCCGATGACCTCATCATATGCGCCGCGAGCCTGGGCGAATTGACGTTGACGCTAGATTTTCTCGCCGAAGACCTACACCAGGTCGGCTTAGAGCTGAATGCAACGAATAGCAACATCTTCATTCTGGATGGCAATTTCGTTCAAAATGGCAGCCCATGGTTTGTGGACGCAGCAGGCGGTCTCATTGAGGTCTCGAGAGAAGGGAAATTCCACGTATACCTCGGTGACAAATATCCCGGCGACTTGAAGAACAGGGGAAATACAATTCTGGCAAACCGGCGGCGGTGCGCATGGGCCAAATACCACAAATGTCGCCCTGCCTTGACCAACCAGCACGCGGATCGTCTTCTTAGAATTCGCCTCGTTGACAGTGTCGTCACGCCTACTGTGCTATATGGCCTCTCCACAGCTCTATGACGTCTGCCGACTTTGAGAAGCTCGCTTCAACTAAGAGGAACATGATGAGATGTATGGCTGGCCACAGTAAGCACGACGACGATGAATGGTCCAACGCGCACAGGCGCGTCCGAGACAAAACCAAGCAATCCCTGCAGCACCGGCCTATCATATCATGGGCGGATGAGTTGCGCGAAGTAAAGCAAAGTATACACATCAAGCTGCAGAGCCCTGGTCGGAAGGAGTTGGCGCATATGGTTGTCAGGTGGAGCCCAGGCGACTTGGCTGATTGAAAATTGCCTGCAAGGCCGAAGCTTTCCAGAGGCAGGTCAGGCAGAACTTGGGACCGGTTTTAATTCACATTTGTTCCTTACCGAGTCCAGTATTGGACCAGGTTTAGTGTTCGATCGGGGATTGTGTGTGTGTGGTCTTGGTTATGGATTCGGTGTGTGGCTACGGGGACGCGAAATTTAATCGATAAGGGACTCTGGCTTCGGGGTCGCGAGTATGGTGTAATTTACAAAAGGATTTATGGCCTCATGGGCGGAACCAGTGAGTAATTCTCTATGGATACTGCTTTGGGGCGCGCGAGTATCATGTATGTTCACGTGCCCGACGACCCCATACAACGCGATTCGGGGACGCGTAACCAGGACGTTTCCCGGCTTACCCCTCTCGCATTCAGCAACAGTCATCAGTAAGGAAGCAGAAAGCAGGAGTGTAACAATGGAGACTGGAGACTGCAATTGGCACAGGGAGCTGCAAGCCTAATCCTCGCAGCCTGATGGCCCCGCAAGGGGGCCGCTGGATAAGATCATCGCTTTCGTGTTTAGAATCATTTTGTTTCTACGAACATGATGTGGTAGGCCTATAGGAATGCCGGGACGGTCGGTCCCTGCCCAACCTCGGCGCCCTCCATTTCCCACCTTTCGGACGGGGCTAGGCCGAGGGCAAATCCGTTACGGAGCGTTCCGGAATTTTCTCGGAACGATCCGGAAAGCCTTGTGAAGTCCGCGGCGCCCAAAACATTTTCCGGAACCGCCAGATCTCAGAGATTCTGGATAGATGGGGAATTTGCAAGATACCCATACCGCTACTCCCAGGACCTCTGCTGGGGTGCGTTCTGCCCAGATATTCGCGGCGAGTTCAGTGGTGGCGACGAGGGCCTCCCAGTAGGCCCGGAAATAGGAAAACGGACGAAGGGTGCGATATCGGTACAGTGGAGACCCATGCCAAGAAACACCTTGCTCGCCTCCATGGTGCCCGGGGTTTCTTGAATTTCGATGGTTTTGCTATGGACAGCGTGGCGTTCCCACGCCAAAAATCAGTGGGCTTCCCAGGGCCTCAGGGTTGGGTTTCTTGTGGAAGGTTTCCCGTGGTCGGGTCCCTACTGCAGTATCCTTGCCCGATGTTATCCCTGTCCTGGCCTCGTCTTAGCCCCCTTTTGCGGCGTGCGCGCCGCCCCTTGCCGATCCGCCCGGATGTTTCGCGCGGGGGCCGTTCTCGCCAACGTCGAGATCCCGCAAAGGCATACCTCCTCCTCCTCCTCCTCCTCCTCCTCCTCCTCCTCCTCCTCCTCCTCCCTCTGCTCCCTCTGCTCCCTCTGTTCCCTCTCCTCCGCCTCCTCCTCCTCCCTCTCCTCCCTCTCCTCTTCCTCCTCCCTTCTCCTCCTCCTCCCTCCTCCTCCCCTCCTCCTCCTCCTCCTCCTCCTCCTCTTCCTCCCGCTCCCTCCCTCCCTCCTCCTCCTCCTCTTCCTCCTCCTCCTGATCCTGCTCCTCCTGCTCCTCCTCCTCCTCCCCCTTCTCCCTCTCCTCCTCCTTCCTCCTCCCTCCCTCCCCTCCTCGTGCTCCTCCTGCTCCTCCTCCCCCCTCCTGCTTCTCCTCCGCCTCCTCTTCTTCCTCCTCCTCCTCCTCCTCCTCCTCCTCCCTCTCCCTCCTCCTCCTCATCCTCCCCTCCTCCTCCTTTTCCTCCTCCTCCTCCTCCTCCTTCTCGTCCTCCTCCTTCTTCTCCTCATCCCGTTCATCCGCCTCTTCCTCCTGCTCCTGCTCCTCCTCCTCCTCTTCCTCTTCCTCATCCTCCTGCTCCTGCTCCTCCTCCTCCCCCTCCTCCTGCTCCAGCAAGGGGTGTGCCCCAGGGTGTGTGTGTGTGGCCCGCGCACTCAGGGTGGAAGTCTTCCGTCTCCGAGTCCCCCCCCTCTTTTCCCTCCGCCTCCGCGGCCGCCCCGTCTGTCTCAGCCTCTCCCATCGCATGCTGGGCAATTCGCTTCTCGGTAGCTTTAAGGCGGGCGTGTCCCTTCACAGGAGGAATATTCCAAAATAGTTGGTTTTTCGTCGGGTGACGACTTTTTGACTATGTTTGATGTTTCTGGATTGTTGTGAGTATCTCTTATTTTTCGTCCAAGACCCCCCACGTAGGAGGACACTCCCGATCTAACGGTAGCCCCGTTTAGCTCGACCGTTGGCGCAGTAATGTCTGCTTCGCCGCCGGCGTCACAAAAAGTGAGTTGGATCGGTTTTTGCAACGAGCCGCCCAACACAGATGCCTCCCTTCTCCCAGCCGCCAGAAGCTCCCGACAGTTGATGATAGTTTGGGCATGCGGGGGGCACCTGTTTGCGGCAATTCGGTGCACCAGTGGATCGAACTCATGCTCCCTTCAGGTTCACCCACCCCTTTCTGGTGGATCCCGACAATGGCGCCCGCGGGATAAGAAGGTCACGCTGACGGATGTGTTGGCCCACCTCTATGTTGTCCTCCTTTTCTCTCCCCCTCCCGGCACCCTCATCTGACGTTCGATCAGTCATCCGCCTCATCATTCTGTTCATTCTTGCCCTCCCCCTCTTTTTGAATGGGGCACGCATCCTCAGCCTCCCGCCTCCATCTCCCTCCCCCCCCCGTCCATGTCCCTCACCCTTCCCTCTCCCGCTCCTCTCCAATTCCCCAGCGTCGCTCCTCCTCGGCCCTCTTCCTCGCCAGTTCTGCACTGCGCCCACGGCCCCGCCCCTCCCGCCGCGTGGACGGCGCGCCCCAGGCCGGCGTCGACGAGCTCCGCGAGGAGGTGCGAAGGCTGAGGGAGAGCAAGTTGTCCATCGAGGAGGCACGAGACGGGCCCGCTCCCGAGGAGGAGGAGGAGGAGCAGGAGGAGGAGCAGGAGGAGGAGCAGGAGGAGGAGGAGGAGGTGGTGGTGGTACTCAGCATCTGGTCGAGTCTGTAATGCTTAGACTGCTTAGACGATTACAATTGACCGCTGTGCGCATGAAGGGGACTCCCATCACGACTAGATTTCTAACCAGGGAACACCATAGAAATCGCGAGGGTCGAGAAGCCTAACGGAAACAACCCGAACAGTGCGCAGTGGCTTTAGATCCCGAGAGTGAGAAGTCAAACGTCTCAGCAGACGCACACACAACACACAGAAGCGAGGGAGAGGGAAAGCGAGACACAGGAGGACACAACCACAGGAGGACGAGGAGAGAGGGAACGGGAAGGCGGAGGCAGGCGGAGAAACACAACAGTCGTTATATACAAGGCCTCATCACTTAAGACTGGCCTCTACCTCGGCACGTTCCTTTACCTTTACGTGGCCTACGTTTTGGCTGAATTTGTGGGGGAGTCCAAGAACCCGAAAATTAGACTCTCCCTCTCTCAGAAACACACTGCCTGGGTCCCTCGGCTCCGAAGGTATTTACATATACTGACTGACTACTACTCAATCTCCTCAGATCTTGCGAGCCTCCCGAGCCTGAAACCTGATGTAGTGCATCCCCTAATATCTGCATATTTCCAGATCCTCCTACCACTTCTTGTCCTTGCCCCCTTTCAGCATTTTCTGCAACGAATTCTGGAGTTTCCTCTCGGGCCCCGCTCGTGGTGGTGGTCCTGGTTTGGGCTGGGACCCGAGCTTCAGGAGGCACGTCGAAATCAGCAGGTTGGCAGGCACTATCAACATGTTCGGTGGCTCCCCGATCGGCACAAACGCGTGCACGTAGAATGTGTGACGCACTTTCATCTCCTCTCCTTCCTTCGGATACGTGGACTTGGCCCTACAATACTTGATGTACTCTGCTGCTAGCTCCCTTTTCTCGCCTCTCAGCCGCTCCACCAGGGCCGTGAGGCCCACCACTTCCGCTCGAATGTCCTGCACTCCTGTCACAACAGGCTGCAGCACCAGAACCGTCAGCACCGCCATGGCCACCATGAGGGAGGGGGGCCCGAGCTGATGATTCGCATCCTGCTCGACGAGGTGCATGTAGTGCTGGGCCGCTGCCACCGCGTGCGCATTCAAGATGCACCCCTTGTCCACAAGATGAGTACTGAGCAGGCATCCCTCCAGGGCCCGTGTGCGCCGAGAAACGTTCATCACCTGCTTGAGTGTGTTGATCGCTGTCTCGTCCTCGCAGTCTGATGCGACCACCTCCGTCTCCATGGGGACCGCTGCTGCTGCTAATCCTGAGGCCAACGCTGCTGCTGGCCCCCCTTCGCGGCGAGGTCCTCGACGTCGTAGCTGAACCCGATCCTTTCCGTAGCCACCAGCGGAGAAGGCTTCTTGAGAGCTCGCTAGTCGCTTCCCCGCCTCCAGTAGCTGCTCCTGCGACAGCGCCCGCCAGCCACGTCGCCATTGCTTGGCAACTCAACGGTGAAATGGGCCGCCGGGCCAAGCTGGACGTGGGTTCGGCTATGCACCTGAAGAGCCTCAAGGCTATGGTGATCAACGCCACAAGCTGGGCACATCAGCGACTCAGGCTCCAGGATGGGATATCGATAGTGACTTCTATCTGCCTAACATGTATAATGCAGAAATAGCCGTCGCACGTGCTGACGTGCAATCGGTCGATTCGGTAGTACGCCCATGCACCATTGACATTGGTTGGCGACTGTGAGAACATTACTGAGCGCGCGATGCCCATGCGTGCCCCCTTGGGTGAACCTCATGTGTGCGTACCACGCCAAGCTGTCCTGAAATTGAAGCCCACACTGAGACCCGTCTGCGTTGAGCTCTTCACAAACCCAAATCGGAGCCTGTGGGCCTTCAGGGGGTCCGTCTGGTGCTGCAGGATCTCCTCCGCCTCTTCCTCCACCAGCGCCTCCATCTTCACCAGCCTGAGCTCACTCCCCCCCTGGTGCCACTCCTCCATCTTCTCGTGATTCAAGCCTAATGCAATCGTACATATCACCCAGCTTATCCTCCCAATATGCTTTGCGAAGGCTTCTAACATTCAGCTAACTAAACTCGTCTCGAACCTCATCTTCAAAGACTCGAATGGGGACAACATTCAGCTTACTAAACTCGTATCGAACCCCATCTTCAACATGTACCATCGCCAGAATATCATTCTGAGCCTGCAGAGCCCACGGATTGCCTTGGAAAGCCCCTTCGGAGTCCCGCACCAGCTTGAAATCCTGCAGCGTTGCCCGAGCTTCTCCGGGCAACTTGCCGAACATGGCCGCGAGCACATGCACATTGTCGTCGCGATGTTTCGCAAGCGTTTGGAGCCATCGAAGTCGCCTGGTACGAAGTTCGAGTCGAGCAGGGACGAGCCCAAGAAGACGCCGCAGCTTTTTGGGCGGTAGCGCTCGATGCTTCATGGACCCGTCTGCTTGAAGTACTCTGAGTACAGCTCTGCCCCCAAGCAGCTTCTTCCCCCGCCCAAGACGTTAGAGTCCGGGAGGCGATAATCACTTCATATCAGAACAAAAACTTCGAGACCACTCAGAGGCTTACTTTGAACTCTACATTGAAAAACAAGCTTCTTTAGTTGGGATGGCACGCTGCGAGCACACCAGCACCTCCCCATACTCCACCACGCCCTTCTCATATTTTAAGCACGCAGCTCTCTGATGTGCCGTCTGGCACGAGTGTGAGAAATGGACGCGGAGGTGCATCGCCGACGGCTGCACCGTGCCAGCGAACCCCTGCATCTCCGACAGCGCCCGCGTATTCTTGATCGCTCCCTTGCCCACGGACCGCGGCGCAATCTGCTGCTTCTCGTGGTTCTGGGTGCCCCCTACCTTCCACAACTCATCACCAAACTGCTTGCTAGCCTCCGCGAGACCCCTCGCAATTTCCTGCGGCGTATCCCCCAGAACCTTGCGAGCAACGTCATCCATGGACACCGTCGTCGAGAGACCAACAGGGTTCACACAGAAGGGAGAGCTGCATATCAATGCCGCTCCCGCTGGCGTCGCTCGTCTGGTTGCAAGCCACGGCTCAAGGGCATCGAGCTGGAACGCGCGGTTGTGCTGATCAGGCGCAGATTGGTGCCCTTGCAGCACGCCCTCTCCAATTCGAAACGTGCCATCTCCATCAGCAGCGTCAGCCGTGATATCACTGGCATGGTTGTTCTGCGTGCCCAGCCGCACCTCGCCCATGTCATAATATTGACAGTCTATGTCGTCCATAGCTTGGTGTGCAATGCTCTCAAACGCGTTAGCTTGATCATAAAGGACACTGGCGCGTGAAACCCCAATCTGCGACAATCTCCTGATCGCGATAGGTCGAACTCTGGTAGCCGCTTCCCTTCGTCCAAGAGAAATACCCCACATGCATGTAGTCCATGAGTTCCTTTTCAGGATAAGCTGCCACTCCTCGTCTGTGGATATACCTCATCATGGCCTTGCTGCACGGGCAAATTATGCGAATCAGCTCGGTGGCCTTAAGCCCCGTCCGCGCACTGGGCCTCGGGAATCCTTGCTCCCCAAGATCGATGCCAAGAGAGAGGAACCTTAGACGTGCCTCGAATACATCACAAAATGCCTCTGAGGCGCCGTGAAAACCAATTCAGTGCAGGGGTGCTCACCTCGAACTCACCCTGCTGGTCCTTGCACTTCGGGCCCCTCGTAGTCGGAAGAAGACCTCCGCAGGCGAGGGCCATGGTGGGACACTCTTCCGATATGCTAACCTCCCAATTGTCGCGCGGATGCCCCTGAGGTCGCGATCAGCGTCGTCCTGGAACTCGGGGTTCCGAAGTTGCTGGCCACCACGCTGAGCATGCCGCTCTTCAGGGATATCAGCGACATGTGGAATATGTTGCGCACTCTGCTCCCCTTGCCATCCAGGTTGTGCCAGATGTTTCGGTGTATTGTAGAAGCGTCTGCCACGCCCCATTGATGCGGTTGCAAGTCGCCTAGATAATCAATGAACCAAGCTATAATCCTTTTGCTGCCACGCATGACGTATCTGCTCACCCGAGCTGTCAATCTGCGCATGTTGGCATTGCTCCGTGTCCTCATGTAATTATTTGGTGGGTCGCCGAAGTTGCTGCTGTGCCGTCGTAAGCTCCGTCGCCTCTGCATCATTGCCGAGCGATCTCACTTTTCCTTGATAGCTGCGCGCCGTCTCACAAGTTCCCGTTGTTGCTGTCTCGCCTGTCGATAGTTCTGCTCCCTTTCTGAACATCTCTGAAAGTACCTGGGTGCGCTCTGCTGCATCTCTTCAATCATGCATTGCCAAGCTTCGTCGGGCGCGGCGTCCTCCTCATACTGGTTCCATCCAGCGCACGATTGATGGCAATGGTCCTCAACTTCTTTCAAGAAACGCTCTCGCCACAGCCCGTCGACAACTCCTCGAACTAAAGCGTCGAGGTTCCACTGAATGCGTGGGGTACGTCCTCCTCTCGAAAAATCCAGGATCTATCTCGCTCGTACTTGTAGTGGGTAATGATGCCATTCGCGCTGCACTGGTGCCATGTGAAGTTGTCGCCCTCGTCCATTCAATTAGCCACGCACGGGGTACGCCCCAGGTAGCCAATCCTTGAGCTCGCCGCGCGCCCATAGAAGGTGTCATGGCCGCCAGTGAAGGTGTTGGCCAGACACAAGTTATACTTGCCCTTGAAATCGTTCAACTGCGTCATACAATGATGCTCCTGTTGGGGTCGCAGCGGCCCAACAGGACTATGCTCATCAGGAGCAACATTCGGCTCCGTGATCCCCGCATAGTCGTTAATATCTCCTCCAAACACAATGGAGCACCTATTGGGTTGGAGCCTGCACACCTGATCCATCCATGAAATCATCTGCGCCACTGTCTTCTTGTACGTGATCATATATTTAGCCACTCTCGGTCGGGCAGGACAATATGCGGCAATCGACAACATGTGGAAACGTCCTGATCTGACTTCAACTGCTCCAAGCCTTCCTTGAAGGCCTGCGGGTGGAGAGTGAATTGCCGCTACATGACATAATCGAAGGAGTCGCCGTCGTATTCTTGTCTGCGCTCCAGCGTGGGATGAGACATGCGGTCCTCTCCCATAACCCCAGTTCAAGATGTGTACGTGTGGGTCCGAAATGCTCGTACGATGCCCATCTGTGTGTCGTCTCCTCAATCTGGTCCCAGTCAAAAACACAATATCTTTGGTCGGATACGCCTCACTGATCTCCACTGCTTTTCCACTTTGCACGAGAGAGGTGACGTTATGCACAACAAAGGGGAGGGGTGCATGCATGGCGGCCGCGCGCGCCGTGACGGAGAGTGCCAATATGGAGAGGTAAGGGAGCGCTGGGTAGGGGGGAGCACACAACCCTGGGGCCGCGCAGGGTGTGTGAAGGGACCTGTGCCAGGGCGGCTGGAGGAGGAGGAGAAGGAGGAGGAGGAGGAGGAGAAGGAGGAGGAGGAGGAGGAGGCGCCGCCCCGCGCGGGGCGCTGCAGCAGCAGGTGTTCGCCGCCGCGGCGCGGCGGCGCACGCGCCGCGGGGCACGGGAGGGCTTGCTGGCAGTCCCCAAACGTGGTGGTGACAACACCCGACGGTGAGCATCGGGCGATTCGGTGTCACCACCAGGTTTGGGGACGCGTGAGTCTTCTCGAGGATGGACCAAACGCTGGTGGGTCCAGGAGTCACGAAGCCCGGCGGTAACCGCGCGTTCCCAGAGCCGGCGGTGATTTTTGGGGGATTCCAGGTCACCACCTGGTATCTCACCACCTGGTTTGGGGGCTCCCAAGTTTGGGGAGGGGGCCCCTGGTGCGAGAAGGCCGATGCCCCCGATGTGGCGCCGCCCGCCCCGTCCAGGCGCGGTCCCCATACCTCCTCACGCTGGAAACAGAAACACGACCGGGAGATTTCCGTGTTCTTCTGCCTTTGGGGGCCTTTCCTGGGCGTCGGGCTTGGGGAGGGGGCCCTTGGTACGAGGAGGCCAATGCCGCCGATGTGGCACCTCCTGCCTTGTCCAGGCGCGCTCCTCGGTTCACGACCGCCTTGCGTCCTTCTCGGACCCCGGGGGCAGCCGTCGATCGACGCAAAAACAACGCCATACACATCGACGTTTGGTGGCGCTCCATGCGGATTTCTTGGATCTGCGCTGGACCCCCCCGCCGGCGCCTCTGGCGCCGCCCTTGGCGCGCTCCGCGCGCCAGGGATGGGGGGCCCTGTGCAGATCCAAGAAATCCGCGCGGACCGTCGAGAGTTGATGTGCATGACTGAAGTAGAGAACGTCCCTCTACAGGAGGAATCTTCAAAATGAGTCAAAATAGTATGGGAATGATTCGTGTTTTTGATAATGTTTGATTCGTTGTTGCATATTTCCAGGGCTGGCCCTAAACAGTATTTTGGCGATTTCTTGGGCCGTTTTGGTTTCGACTTCGTTTTGTGGTAGAGCCGGGCTGAAGACACTAACAAGAGAAAACGAGAACACAACGAACACGAAAAACACCTTCTAGGTCCAGCCCTTCACATTTTCAGTTTTAGTCCCACATCCGCCTGCAGGAGGACGTGCCCGATCGAATGTGCGGCGTTTCTCTTCCTCCTGGCCGAGAGGCTGGCCGCGGGTGAAGACTAGCTGGCGCGGGAGCTCAGCGGGGCGAGCCCGAGCGGGAAGGGCAAAAGAGCCAGAGGCTGCGACTCAGTGGGCCCTGGAATCAAAAGCGTTAAAAACGCCCCTCCCCTAGTTTGCGAGGCGCTGTGCGCTGGACCTCCTGTCGGCTGACAGGGTAAACCCTGCACATCGCGCGTGTCGCGCGGCGCCCTGGCGGCTTTGGGAGCTCCCAGGGGGCTTACGGACAACGCATTTGTAACACAGGGTAGGGGCGTTTTTACATCCCTCAATGGAAGCGGCAGGGCCGTTTTTGTCACCGTTTCTGAAAAACGCCTCTTGGAAATGGAAGCGGAAAAAATGGCGATCCGAAATGGCAACAAAAACGGCTCCAGAAATGGAATTGGAGCCCGAGCCGGAAAACAACGGCGATGGAACCAGTAAAACAATTGTGTCGGAACCGGCGAAAAAAAGGCAAAACGTAACAGCGTAACAAAAACGGGTATGTAATTTCCGGGGCCTATTCAGGGCTGCGGCGCCGTGAGATTCCAGTCGGGCACGCCCCTCTCTACAGGAGGGAGAGTTCAGAATCGTCAAAACAAATTCTTCATCTCCCTTGTTATTATGCAGCGAAAAGTTTGTGTTTCACTATTCCAGCCACCCGCAGAAGGGGTAGAGGGAGGGGGAGGCTTCTTAGAAGCACAACTGTTTCTGAGAAGGCGCGGGCCTTGCCTGTCGATACAGGGCCTAAACCTAGTAACACGATGAAGACGTGGCCTCGCTGAGGTCCTTGTCGTCGCATTAGTGACAATAGTGCTGGGCGGTTTGGTCTGATGCATCTGCAGAGAAGACCCCCTTATCCCTCATGTTTTCTGGCCCTCCTAACTTAGGTACCCTCCCAGAGGGTTAGGGGACCTTTTTAGTTTAATCAGATGGAGCGTATCCTGCAGAACCTTAAGATCCTGGCGTCTCATTTTTTTTTCGAGCTGGGCGTTTTCGCCTGTTGTTCGGACCCTGGGGCCCTCACATATCGAGCCAGCTCACAACGTGACGCTGAAAGATGGGGGCTACGGCTCCTGGCGTGATTTCTACGGTGTTGCAATTTGTTCGCTACGCCGGGTCTCAGGGAAGCCTCTTCTGCGAGCAATGTTCATATCCATATCCAGTGCGTCTTGGATTTTTTCCGGAAGGAGCACCACAAGGCCGAGGCGCACTGGATATTGAAAAAGGGGAACACTATCCATATCCAGGAAAATTACCCATAAACAGGGAACCCCAGACTCCATGTCGCAGTGGATATGGACAGAGGTATTGCCCGCATCTGCTTGAGGGGGAGGGAGCAGAGGGAGGCGGCGCTCGGTTTGGCCTCACTCGAACTCATTCAAGCGGCTGAACATCACCTTCGCGAGCCGGTCGCTCCATTCGGGCTCCACGCCGAGCGGCCCGGAGTGGTTCCTGGCGCGCGTTGTCTTCATCTCCGCCAGCTCCAAGCGGGTTGCCTACCGACCAGGTCGCTAACCTTGGTGTGAGAAGCATCCGCGTGTGCATGAGCTTTGGGAAGCCAGGCGCGGGTCTCTTCGATCGGCGCCGGGCCCCCCTCCCTGGCGGCCAGCCAGGTCGCCGAGCGCAGAGAAGGGAACAGTTGCATGAGCATGGACTTTCGGAGGCCCGCGCACATTTCCTGGACTTGCTTTGGACCCTGCGCGCGCAGCGCGCCAGAGGCGGCGCCTGAGGCGCCTCCAGGGGGGTGCAGAGCAGATGCAAGATGTCCGCGAGGACCTCAGGACACTCGTGGTTATGCAGTTGCCCCTTCTTTTAAGTCGGCCCTGGCCCTCCACTGGAGGAGTAGTCCAAAATTGTCACAAAATAGCCTGGGGACTATTTTTTGAGTTTTTGTTAGTCCATTTTGCAAATTTGATTGACTATTTCTCGTGTTTCCTCCAAAATCCCCCTGTAGGGGGACAGGCCCGACTTGTCCCTTCTTCCAGGGCAGCCCCGCGAGAGCTGCGTCTCGCGGTGGCGCCCCGCTTGGGGGCTCGGCGGACAGCGGCATCGAAGGTGCTGCGCAGGTCCCAGATACACGTAAGTCGGGCATGCCGCTCTACAGGAGGAGAAAATTCAGATCTCGTCTACCAAGGATCTGGGGACGATTGTGTTTTTTGTGTTAAAAAGAGACCCTTCTAGCTTATATGCGTTTCTTGTGTTTTTTCTTTTCTCGTTTCCTCGTTTGAGTATGGGTTGGATTCTTTCGAGCTACAGTTAATGCTCCTTACATAGACCGCCTCCAGGAGGACACGCCCGACCTAGAGATACACCTCGAGCGGGCCGAACTGCCGTCGCCGTCGTGACCCCCGAGCACTTCGTGGCAGCCCCCCCCCCGCCTTCCGAGCAGCAGCGCAGGGGCCAGGGAGGAGGCCCGCCCACCGCTGCTTGGGGCCTGAGCCAGGCATGCCCCCGCTGCACTCGCGGGTGGACGGGGCCCCCGCCCTGACACGTCGATTATCAAGCGGCGGCGAAGCGTCCCGGCTCGCCTTTGGCCCTACCCAACAATGTTCTAAGAACCTTTTTTTGTGGATTCCACGAAATATTCTTAGAACATGTTTGGCAGGGACTGTCTTGTTTTAGCAAACTGGGTTTATGATTTAAGAGCATTTTCATTTTGGGATTCTAAGAACATTTCGTGGTATGACTATAGGAATGCGGGGACGGTCGGTCCCTGCTCAAGATTAGTGATTTGTCCGTTCTCGGTTCTCGAGAGGGCGCCGCGGCCGTCACTTTCCAGGCCAGCGCCCGCCAGGTTTGGGCTCGAGGTCGTCTTCACTGAACCACGTGTTGCCAAGCGGGGGTCTCTGTCCATCCCCGATACACGAGGAGTATCCAAGGATAGTCAACAAAATAGTCTGGGGGCGATTTTTCTGGTTGTGAAAAAGGATGCTCGACAGTATTGACATGGGCATGTCCCTGCACAGGAGGTGCACCCAAGGATACTCAAACCATATTTTTGGGACGATTTCTCTTGTGGTTAAAGATATGTGCGACTTAGGGATATTGAGTCGGGCATGTCCCTCTACAGAGGGAATATGCAAGGATAGTCGAACAATAGTCTGGGGACGATTTGCTGGACGCTTTGTGGAATAGTTTCGCCAGTTGTTTGATATTATTGTTTTTTTGTTGGGCTATGGTGTTTACTATGTTTTGTTATGTTTTACTGTTCTTCTTGAGTCCGCCTGTAGGGGGACATGCCCGACCGAATGCCAGGGGAACAAGTCCAGCATCCATAGCCGAGCCTTCTGGAGGAGCAGCCTTCCGGAGGCGACGAACATCTCCCTCGAAGCAGTTACGCGATCCGAAACCTGAGAGCACGTGACCGAGGCAAACGTCACCATCCCCGGCAGGTCGGGAATCTGCCACGCCGCGAAAGTTCGGGCAAGGAGCCCCAGGAAGCGAGATGGCCGCCGCAATGGCCAGGCGCACCAAGCGCGCATCCGCGCAGCAGGTGCACGCGGCCGTGCAGAATGGCCGCCAGCGTGCCGCGCGGAAGTGCCCGTCCTGGCCAGTGCAGCGGGATCAACTGGGCCTATCCGATGAGGGTCTCGTTCCAGGGCTCTCCTGGGACGCTCTCATCGGGGGCGGCAAAGAGGGGGGTGATGACTAGGGGGGGGGAATCATGGCGGGGGCCATGCTATTTCCCCAGATTTCATGGCGCCTCTTCTTATTTCATTACGTCCCTGGCCCCCCCTTGGGCCGCGCACATGCCGCTGGCCATGATTTGCGCCCCCCCCTCTTGGACACCCCGCTCTGGGCCGCCCCCGATCTCTGAGCGTTCCGGAACGCTCTGCGATGGCCGCGGAGTCTTGGAGCCCTCTTAGGGCTCTTTGGGGAGGTTTGGGGGGCCTCTTGGGGCCTCTTGGGGCCGTCTTGGGCCCCATGGCTAAAAAAGAGGGGGGGGCCAATTCCCGCCGCCCCCTCGGAGGGTCACACATCCTGACTTGGAGCCGTTTTGGGCCGTTTTTGGAGTGTTCTTGGCCGCTCTCGGGGCCCTCTTGGGCCCCTCTTGGGGCTCTCTTGGGGCAACTTGGGGCCACGTTGAGGATGCCAAAGCCCATCGGAAGCGAAAACGCGAGAATGCCTGAAACATTGATTTCTCCAGGCTTTTGAAGGATTTTGGCATCTTGGAGGGTGCCGTTGGAGGCTCGAAAGGCACTTGGATCCGTTTTCGGGCAGCCTTGAGGCCTCTTGGATGTGTGTCGGAGGCTATCTTGAGCCATCTTGAGTTATCTTGGGCCATCTTGGAGGCCATCTTGCGCTCTCTGAGGCCCTCTTGGAGCCATCTTGGGCCCCAAAGGACTCTCTAATCCCTCGGGCCCGCGCCGTCCGGACCCAAAGAGCGGGGGGTTGGAGACGGAAGCGCTCTAGACCACCTCCGCCCAGAGGGCTGGTGGGACTCGAAGTGTGCTTACACAGTTGTTTCGCCCTCTCGGGGCATGTCTGGCGGAGACAGCCTCTGGGAGGAGGGCCAGTTGAGACAGTGGCGGCCCTCCTGCCCGCCCCCATCCGCCGGCGTCTCCACTCCGCAGCCATTTGGCTCAAGATTGGCTCAGGTTGTGGCCAAGTGTTCAACTCTGTCGCCGAAGCTGCCAGCTCGCGGTGTCTCTCATACGTCGTCAATGGCCAACGCCACGTTCGAGATGGTGGCTTCCAATCTGGCCGTCAGCGAGGCTGGGCTCCTCGCCGCAACGGACCTCTACACGGAGCAGGGCGAGCCGGGCAAGAAGGGGCCGCCTGCAGCGCGCGTGCGGTGGGCCGGCTGGCGGGTCGGCCTGGGGGCGCTCTTGGCCGCGGCGCTCGTGGGCGTCGCCGCGCGGGCGGCCGCCCAGCAGCGCGGCCAGGCGCCCGCGCTCACGAAGGACGTGCCCGAGGTGACGGAGTTGCAGGACTGCGGATCCAATCCCGCGTGCCAGTACGAACCGGCGACCGGGGGCTGCGATTGCACCCCGAGCGCCGGTTCGTCGGCGACCTACCCGACTGCACCCCGCGCTGATGCCTACAATAAATACAAGGGCAACGCAAATGATCTAATGTCTGTTTTTTTTTTTTTTCGCCGATCGCGCGCAGTTGACGCATCTGCCGCAGTTAGGCCACCGCGTGCCGTAGTTAGGACATCCGCCGGCGTCTCCGATCTCGCCGCTCATTCGGACGATTGCCAAGACCGCAGCTGTTGCGTCGGATACTCTTCGCTTATAATGGGCGGTGCCCTCTAGAGACTATAGACATCAAGATCTCTGCGGGCAGGGCGCCCGAATGCTTGCGGGCGCGCGTTCGGGGCTGGCGGGGCGCGCGCTCGAGAGCGCCTCGTGGGGCACTCCTTGGAGCTATCCTTGTTTTAAATTTGGAGGGAGTTTTCTGTGGAACTCACGTCATCCTCACCCCCGGCGCGAAGAGCACGAGTCCAGAGCGGCCTCCGGTACCGTTTCCGGACGGATCCGCTGGATCCGGTGACGAATCCCAAACCGGCGCCCTCGCTTGAGACATCCTCGCAAAACCGGCCCCGGGGGAGGTGCCCAGAGGAGCCCAGAGCGGCCTCCGGCACCGTTTCCGGACGGATCCGCTGGATCCGGTGACGAATCCCAAACCGGCGCCCTCGCTTGAGACATCCTCGCAAAACCGGCCCCGGGGGAGGTGCCCAGAGGAGCCCAGAGCGGCCTCCGGTACCGTTTCCGGACGGATCCGCTGGATCCGGTGACGAATCCCATAAACCGGCGCCCTCGCTTAAGACATCCTCGCAAAACCGGCCCCGGGGGAGGTGCCCAGAGGAGCCCAGAGCGGCCTCCGGCACCGTTTCCGGACGGATCCGCTGGATCCGGTGACGAATCCCAAACCGGCGCCCTCGCTTGAAGCATCCTCGCAAAACCGGCCCCGGGGGAGGTGCCCAGAGGAGCCCAGAGCGGCCTCCGGTACCGTTTCCGGACGGATCCGCTGGATCCGGTGGCGAATCCCAAACCGGCGCCCTCGCTGGAGACATCCTCGCAAAACCGGCCCCGGGGGAGGTGCCCAGAGGAGCCCAGAGCGGCCTCCGGCACCGTTTCCGGACAGATCCGGTGGATCCGGTGGATCCGCCGACGAATCCCAAACCGTCGCCCTCGCTTGAGACATCCTCGCAAAACCGGCCCCGGGGGAGGTGCCCAGAGGAGCCCAGAGCGGCCTCCGGCACCGTTTCCGGACGGATCCGCTGGATCCGGTGACGAATCCCAAACCGGCGCCCTCGCTTGAGACATCCTCGCAAAACCAGCCCCGGGGGACGTGCCCAGAGGAGCCCAGAGCGGCCTCCGGCACCGTTTCCGGACGTGTTTTTGATAATGTTTGATTCGTTGTTTCGTGTTTTTGATAATGTTTAATTCGTTGTTGCATATTTCCAGGGCTGGCCCTAAACAGTATTTTGGCGATTTCTTGGGCCGTTTTGGTTTCGACTTCGTTTTGTGGTAGAGCCGGGCTGAAAACGCTAACAAGAGAAAACGAGAACACAACGAAC